TGAAACACATATTCAGAAATCGTGCTTGATAGACGTCTGCATGATTTATTATACTTACACCCCTGCTTAGATTCTGTGCTACCATCTTTGATACTTCTCTTAAGCAACTCTTCAGTTTCGTGCTTATGCCGACCAATCTCAAATCTTTATTCTTACGTGCAGTAATACTAGTACTCGGATAACACATCCGATGAACTACTAGTCTTTACATTACCCTTATACTCAGCGAAATTTCGAGCATTAAGAACTCGAGCCATATTATTCAGAGAATATCTTGTGCTTCTGCTTAAGTTTTGATTTAACCCTTTGGCTCCCGGTGACACATAAATGCGTCTAACTGCACTTATTGCATGATCAAAACAGCTAGAATAAATTTGAAAAAAGATTTGAATAGCTGAAAGAATTTCCGGTCTCAGGTGGTGTATACAAAGCCTCCATCAAAACTCCTGAAATCAGGACCTCTGGAACACTCCAATCTCAGAAAACCAACTCCCAGAGTTCAATGCAGAAATTCTGTGCCGATACATCCATCGTGTAGAGCAAACATTTCTGAAGAAAATGAGACGTCGCCGAGCTGTTTATGACATTTTCTCATGGAGCAAGAATCAATTTACAAAAGGCCCTAAGGGCGTATCTTCTTGTTTTTCCGTTAGTTTTTTCTCATGGAGCAGCATCCAATTTACGGAAAGTCCCATAGCAGCAAAACTAACGGAAAAACAAGAAGATACGCCCTTAGGGCCTTTTGTAAATTGATTCTTGCTCCATGAGAAAACGTCGTAAACAGCTCGGAGACGTCTCAATTCCCTCAGAAATGTTTGCTCTACGCGATCGACTAATTTGCAAAGAATTTCTGCATTGAACTCTGGAAGTTGGTTTTCTGAGATATGAGTTTTCCAGAGACCCCGATTTCAGGAGTTTTGATAGAGCCTTTGTATACACCACCTGAGATCGGAGAATATTGGAGCCAAAGGGTTAAGCTCGCTTATCGATGTAAGAGTAGAAAATCCAAAATTACAAGCCACAAAAGCGGATCCACGATTCATATACATGTGCTTACCGTAAAACCTAATTTGCTCCGGAATTATTTCGTATCAAAATTCGATCCATCCTATACGAATGCCCTATTACAACCACTTCAAACATCAACAAAAAACATGATTCAACCGACAGCGGTACTTATTGCACTTATGCTCATTGGACCATTAGCATGTCAACCAGCGGGCCAAACTAGCCCGCGCCCGGGCGCACAACAGCCAACAGGCTCTCAGGCACCGGCACAAACCAGTAAGAGACCGGGCTCACAACACCCAATAGGATCTCAAGCACCGGGACAAACCAGTCAAAGACCCGGCTCACAACAGCCAATAGGATCTCAGGCGCCTGAGATGCTATTGGCTGTTGTGAACCCGGTTGTTGGCTGGTTT